TGTTGGACATGTCTTTCACTCTTCAAGTATCTCAGGGCTAATTTAAGATATGAGAGCATTAGGCTGAATGGACCCTAAAATTATCTAGCTCTCAAGTATTCTCACTACTCATTAATCAAGCAAGAGAAACTTGATACAATGCTCTCACTGTAAACTGTTAAAATTTCAAAGCAACTTTCATAGTACTCAGTACTCACAAATATCTGCCAACTTATACTGTTTCATAACTGTTACTAGAGCTTTTTTTTTTAAACCCAGTGTTTTTTTTTTATATTCATCACAGGTTGAAATGATACTTTGGATATGTTTAGATATATTGGGTTACATAAAACATACTACTAAAATTCACTTCACCTGTAGTCTTTTTCCTTTTCTTTTTAATGTGGAACCAGAAAATGTTACATCATGTGTGTATTGTCTAATTTGCCAGATGATGCAAGATTGAAAAAAATTAGACATTTTTATTTTTATAATCTCATCTTATAAATCAGAAAATAAACCAGCATTTAAATGAGACCATTTTAAATATCCTTACAAGTGTCAGAAATTTATAAATAATTAAATATATTTTGATTACATTCATTGGTTTTTCTGGGGAATTTTGTTATTTATTTATTTCAAAAATCTCTTAAACCTAGTTCAGGAACTTGCACCATCTATTTGTAAAGCTACTGCCACTTTTGCTCCACCTAGTGGAATACTGATTTTTGCTCAGTAATAACAAAATACATAATACAATCTCTACCATCTGTAGTCAGATAAAATTTATACTGTTATTTCTTACTATGAAATGATACTACATTTATGAATGAAACATTTGATAATCTTTTTACAACCACAAAACCATAGACTTTTATAAACAAAATGTGGTAGATTTGGAAGAAGTAAGTTTGCTACATTCTTTTCATTGTAAGAAGTTAATTCAAGTAATTCAATTACTCTATTGAATAAGCATAAGGAAGCTTGCATCATTAGGGAAGGTTAGTGTAACAGCAATATCTAAAGTTACACAATTAATAACAAAGTCTATTTATAAGGTTTCTAAGATAAAAGTCAAGAGGAAATAAGGAATTGTCCCTAGCACATATAATTAACAATCCAGCAAGTTTTTTATTTACTTTTTTCATATGGAGTTTTATTTTAATAATTTCTTAAGTTGATAAAGTACATTAATACTACTAATGAAATATTATTAACATTACATAAATTAATTTATCTGTTACTCTGAACAATGAATAACTGTTTACTAAAGTAGTCATCCAAAATGACGGGTACTCATTTCTCGGAAGTCTGATGTTGCCAAAGGCAGTATTGCCTCTGATACCAAACTCTAACATAAAAACCTAATAGACAACTTTTCTTTATTCTCCAGTCCCACCCCAAAGGAGTTAAAAGTATTGCAAAGAAGTTTAATTTCCTCCTGTTTAATATTTTTTTTATGAATTGAAACTTTGTCAGGAATGGAAAATTCCACGGCAGTCAAGGCCAGTAAAACCATGCATATGTATGGCTGAGCACTGCAGAGCTAGTTCCATAGTAAAAATTGGCAGTGACCCATATGTATTAAAAGTGGAGTGTCCTCAACTTATTTGAAAATTGACCTACTTAAATTATGCCTCCAACCTATTGCAATTTGATTTATAATCTGCTGTTTCGACAAAATAAATGAACCCATTAAAAACAAACTTACTGTAGATATTTATATCGGGAATAAAATAAAATGTCTCTGGGGAGGATGCAATTTATGGGAGCAGAAACATTGGAAGGAAGTAACAAACTGTGGTCTAGGTTTTCTAATGAAGAATTGGAAATTGAGTTCTGCTTAAGAAGAAAAAAAAAGATGTGATTATTTTTCACTCATTAGCATTTAAGTCAGTAGCAGGATATTTCACAAGTTTGCTAGATTTTTAAATAATATATTTTGTTAAGTTTAATTTCTATAGTCACGTATGAAAGTAATTGATAGAAAGGCAGATTTATCTGCACATGGTACACTACATTTAACTATGATAAACACAAATATCTGTAACTTCAGGACTAGACTTGGACTAGGAAGTCTGCCCAGTGGATTCAAGAAGAGTGAAACAGATGCAGGCCTGCCCAGAACCTGGTTCTTAGGACAGAGAAACTTGTGTTACACATCATACTCTGTCCAACAGGCTTGTAAACAAGATACAATCTTGTTGATGATTAATATTTTCCCTGACATAAGGATTTGAAAGATACACTATCTTTTCTACCAATATGATAAGAATGCTACTAATCTTCAAGATACCTCAAATTATATGTAATAATGAAATGGAGATCCTCAAATAAAAACTGTTTTTCCTCAAAGTCTGCATCCAGCATTTCCATTACATAAATGGCAAAGTGGAAAAACATGTTCAAAGTTTCACTTTGATTTCCACAGCTTCTTTTTTCAGAGGCCACATATCTATTTGGAATTATTATCCAAAGTATAATTCCTCATGAACAGATTAATGAATGGTATCCTACCACTTCTCTTGCAACCAGGTATGTTTAGGTTGTGGCAAACACTCTTGTTGCTGGTGTAGAAAATGAAATCAATCCCTCAGAGAGAATGCGATCAATACCGTGTTAATCTAACCTTCAGCTGTAACGATTTGCACAAGGATTCTCCTTGGTACTGTGGCTTCAAATAAATATTATTTTAAGAATTTGTTAAATCCCGTTTCTTGTCTTTTGCCAAAAGGGTACTGAGTGGAATAGATCCTGAGGATCAGCTGTCCTCTGCTTATATTGTGTGTATGTTTTCTTTTTTTAACAGCAACAAAATAAATGAAAATATTTTAAAATTTTACTTTTAGATTATTTCCTTTCCTGAGACTTTTTAGATAAGAGGCTTTGAAAGACAAAATCCTTTGCAAAACTTGCAAAATTATCCACATTTCATAATTTAGAATTGCTGTCCACACCTTCAACAACAAAAAAGAAACAATTTTCTGTTCTCATTCAAAATAGAACTATGGAAAAAACACTCTCCAAATTCACGTTCACAACCTTTCACCTTTCTTTTAAAGGGCACCAGCGTGAACAGCTTGTGTTAGCTTAAGGAGTGCTTGGAGTAAGGGGATGTGAAGGAAAAGAACTGCATGTCCCATCCCTAAAGGACTGGCTTGTTTGGATTTGGGGGATTTTTCTCTTTTTCTTTCTCTTTCCATCTCCCTTAGGCTTTTGGAGTTTGTTTTCAGCAAAAATATATATTTGATTCTCATGTATCCTGTTCTAACTCTGTACCTTTTTTATCACACTGCTGAGCAGAAATCAAGCACTAAGGATGCAGTTTATATTTCTACTAGTTACAATGTTATGATGAGGGAACAATCTAATTTTACTTGTGACCAAAGTCAAGTGTGAATAAGTAAAAGGAATTCTTATGCATTCATTCAATTCGATGAGTCCCTGAGTTCTTAATTATTCATTCCAACTCAACAAAACATGTGATCCATAATTGTGCCTGCAGAGCACATCAGCTATCATTATTTTTACAGTTCATCAATTGTCCATTTCCATAATCCTATACACTTAACTTTCTCTACATGAACTATAGTAATCAACTAGGTATTTTTCAATATCCAAATCTATATAACCCTCGAGTATGCTAAATGTATTTCTTGTTCAATTCTGTTCAGGGAAGACATGAAATACAGGAAATTATGTATGAATATAAATTCTTATTTAGGGTATTCTGAGAATTAACTACAAATAACTTGAGATATTATTCTCTGATTCTGACAGCATTGTGAAAACATAAGAGTCATTTTCCAGTCATTATAATTATGATTATGATAATTACTATTACTTTATACCTATTAACCTATCTTTTTCATAGTGATATTTATGAAAGAAGTACTACTTTTAGGTTTACTTCCTATCTAAACAATTTTATGCAATTACATGGAGTTATTTTATCTTTTCTCAGACATTTTTTTAAGTTTGTATTTCATTTGAAAAAAATCTACTTTGGTTTCCCACTGGATAGTTCATAGAAATATTCCAAAGCAATCAACACTGGTCAGAAGAAAAGCTCTTAGAACAGTAAAGGAAATAATGGGTGGGAAGCAGAATGAGAACATCATCACCATCACTCCAGACACAGGAGTTCAAACTATGAAGAAACGAACCCCTCTTGCTCTCAAGCTGCATGCTAACTCGGAGGAAGGGCTGGGAGGAAAACAGGTGAGCCACATGACAATTCTATGTCTGGGATAAGAACAAGATTTCAGGGGGCCACAGTGAAGCAATGACTAAAGTTGGTTTGAAGAACAGGTAACATATGTTGAAAAGTGTTATTCTTCAAGAGAACCATGGCTTAGACTTAAGAAATGAATCAGAGTTGGCCACATGGCTGGTTTTCCAAGTAGAGGGAAGCAAATGTGACACATGGGCAATGACAAGTAGTAGCATATGGAAGGAACAAATACTGCAAAGGAATGTGAGGCAATCAGTAGCAAGGCTGACTAGACAAAGGACCCTATAGATCAGGAAAGGAATTCAGACATAGGCCTCAGGTAGTGCAGAACCTGTGAAGAACTCAGCTGCAAATGAGGTAGGTCTAGAGACAGGGATACCACTTATGAGACCACTGTAGTAATCCAGAGCTTTATGTGACTTTGACAAGGGATCGTGTGCACCCCAGATGCCTACAGCATGTGAATTCACCTGAAGCAACATTACTTTTCCCATAGTTAACTAGACTATAACTCAGCGCTCCAACTAGGGGAAGGCAAGTGAACTTGCCTTGGGCTCAAAGTTTAAGGAGGCACTCATAAACTCAGTAATCAAGATAAATAATATTTAGAGTAATGTTTTTAAAAACAAATGCAAAAAAAATTCATGATGAACAAGATATGAAAAACTTGAATTCTTTGGGGATATGAGTGAAAACAGACTAATTCCCCATTTAAATGGGTTCCTTTTTTATCTTCTTTGGAGAAGTTCAGTTTTTTTCATTCAGTGTTGCTAAACAACTAACTCACCTTGGAAGCCGAGACAGAACACCAGCTGATACTGACGTTAATGCATCATCCAAACGGCCTGGCAGCTTCCCTTTTTGAATCCAGCTGACAACGAGTTCAAGAAGCATCAAGGAAATGAAAAATGGAGTTGCCTGGAAAGGAAATTGTAGAAAAGAGATGCTTTCCTTCCACATTTCCTGATTAGTCGTTCTGGAAGTAGGAGGTCCAGAGTGACATTTGACAGAAGAAGAAGGTATATACTTTTGCGAGAGGATCATTTCCTCCCAGCAGGCAAAGAAATATGATTATTTCAGACATACACTAAACAGGTGCTCATATTCTATTATCCAGTTTGGAAATGAAATCTAAACATAGATGTAGTGATGATAATTTTGCAAAAAAATAAGATTAGGAGGGATGTATTTCAAAAAATACAGTTTAAAATAAGTGCAATAATCAGAAATCTATTATCTATATGACTAAGACCCACTTTAAAAGGCTCTCCTTAAGGATGCATATGATTCTACTTCTTCATATTAGAATTATAGGATGACAAAACTGAAACTACAGGAACAAAAGAATTTTCTTCTGAGTTTCAGAGAATGAGGTCACTTAAATATTTGTTTTAAACATCATCCAAGTTTTATACATTTAGCTTTATTTGTGTTTTATATCAAAGATTTTTTAGGGTCTACTACTGATAAATATTGGACTAAGCTTGGTGTGATAATATGAAAAATTCTGATTTATGATTATTGTAATACCACATTATTTTCCTTAAAAAATAAGAAAAGAGTAATACCAAATCATGAAAAAGTTAAAGGTTTCATTGATCTGGAAGCTGGTCATAAGTTTTGCAGATTTCTAAACTGAACTCCCAAGAACATATTCGTAGATGTCACTTTTTGTTTTTTTCTGTTTTTGGTCTGAACTAGTGAGTTCTGTAGGAATAACTTTGACAGGGTGGGGAACTTCAGTATTCAAGTTCTAATTCTGGATATTTCCACTTCCAATCATAGCCAGGAACTCTGAAGTGAAAAGTGCCTCTGAACATTTCAGAGTTTCAAAGAAAACTTGGTTCAAGTTCAAACTTAGGAAGTCAGAGTTGGATTCAGTCAGCTATGTATCCATTCTGCAGAGCTATTCTACCAAATTAAGAGGAAAAACTTTCCTGGGAGGTGGTTTGCCCTTTAAAAACAAAATTGTTCAAGGTTTACTGATGTCATTGAACTCAACATTGAGTTTCTAACTGCTGCATTTAGAATGCCATTGCATCCAGGAAAACTTATAAAAGTTTTACTCGCATTCTGGAGTGACATATCAAGGGAAAGGAGTTTAACAGGAGAAAATGGCTATGGATATTGTACAGAAATCCAATTCAAGCAGAAATTCTCCTTTTGTTCCATGCCTTTATGAAAGTGAATTTTTTTTATTTATATCTAATAATTTGAAGAATGGAAGTGGACAGAACCCCAGGATGTATTTAACTTACTTTCTATTATGAAAAAAACAAGAGTAGCCTCTTCCCAGATAGTCTCACCTTTTTTACATAATCAGGCACCTCTTCCATGGTTTGGAATATTGTTTCATTGGGCTTCATCACGTAAAACATCATGCGAATTCCCTGCCAAACGGAAACGTCCTGCTGGGCTTTTGGGTCCTCCATCTCTGCCTCTGTCTGATTCCCAGCTGAAGAATGTCTGAGATTCAGTGGTTGAAGCCAGAGGCTGAGCAGAAGATGAGATGTGCTGCACAGAACAAGCCCTTTGTCAGAGCACAGCTAGAAACAGAACTCCAGAGAGCACAGTCACAGCAGATTCTGCTTAGACAGGAAAACACAGGCATCAAGAAGGAGTTCAAAGTTCAGTGGGCACTGTCCCAGAAACTGGGGTGTGGGGAGGGAAAGTGGAGGAATCATGCCCAAATCAAAGATAAACAGTGGAGTTTGACTGTAGGTGGAGCAACTTATCATTACAAAATGAAAAGCTGACAAACAAACAAAAACCCACATGATACCACCTTAGAAAGGGGAGGAGGAAGTGTGGTAACAAGTAAAAGTTCACTCTGAAAAAGTAGGTGGAAATTCAAGACTCAAAACACATGAGGAAATGAATTTCTTCTCTCCCTTCTGAAGCTCACATTGTGTTCAAGTCTGCCATCTCCCTGCGGAGCTGTATTTCCTGACAGGACAGGGTGCTCCAATCTCAGTAAGAATAGCTTAAAAATCAATAAGCACAGAAGATGTTGCACTGGTTATTGCCTATGTACTTCTAGATCTGTATCCTGTTCTGAATGTTTGCGAACCAGTTTAGGGCATTTGCCTTATTACATGACCATGACCTACATCTTCTAATGGACTCTCTATTCCCATTTATATTCATTTTGACACTTAGGTGAACTCTGAGAGAAAAGCTGCCAAGATGTTTCTGCAAGACCTTCTCTCTGTTTTCTAGGAGGAGCACAAGTCATTTGTGCCTTTTAGGTAAACTAGATGGCACTTAATTGATTGCATCGCCAGTAGATGACTGGAGCTTTCCCAAATAACCTCAGCCTTTCACCTAGAATTGCTGTGATGATCCTTTAGTTATCAATTCACCTTTAAATATGTTTATGGAGAGTTCATTGAATTTTTAATAAGTGATTATTTTAGGCAAAAATAGACCCTATAAACAATAAGTAAATTACTACTCAGAGATACTATTAACATTTGGTCTATATGCTATTACTATACTATGCAAAATTGTGCAATAAAAACTACAGAGTTTATGAGAAAAATGGGATTAGGGTGCAAAACTTAAAAACATCGTAATGACCCATAAAGAGAAAAAAATTACAAGCTAACAAAAATTGTAGTACACTTTTGCACTTGCATGTTACATAGATAAGAAATGCATAAATACTATAATAAATACGTACTTCATCTTATAAAATACCTGATGTTTGTTTGTGGAAGTAGGCATTTTTGAGTTGCATATTACTTACTAAGTTATTGTGGAGTATTGGAAAGACTTACCTGAAATCAGAATGACAGTTGTAAAACCAGATAGGGATAGGTGAACTGAGCACACTGGTAGATATTTAAGACATGTGTTTACGGGTGCATTTTGTGTATTCCTAAGCCTTTCACATCACACAAAAGCACAGAGGGCAGACTCAAGTTATTTCCTAATATATCAAACCCTGTTGGAACAAACTTGCATTTTCAAAATATTGCTCAACTTTCTGTACTTTTAAACAGTTCCCATTACAAATAAATTCATATGGACATACTTACTTAATAAAAGTCATATTAGGCACAGTGCTTTATTACCTGCTTTAAAATTTTTTGAAATTATAAATTATAATGCATTGTTGGGAAAAAAAAACAAACAGCACAACAGCATATAAAGTAAAATGTAACAGCAGACCTCCCCTCAACATGCACGCATATCCCTTTCTTCAACTTCACGACAACAACTACTCCCAGTGGGCATTTTTCCTACAAAGGTTTACTTTTTATTATCATTATTATTACACCATGTGAAATACATTCAAATATACACATTTTTTTTTTCTTTGCAATGGACCATATTAAACATAAGATATAGCAACTTTTCTTCTTGGAGTCAACAACTTAGCAGGAACATTTTTCCATTAAGTATATGGTTACAAAGCATTTTTTTTTTTTCCTGGCTATAGAGGTGTATGCATGTATGCCAAGCAGGCATACAGAATCACTTTAAGTATTTAAAGTAGCTGAACTTAAACAAAAAAAATTAAAGAAATGATGGAAGAGGTGAAAAGTCAAGTGGGAACAAAGAAGCACTAGAGAGGTTAATATCAACAGGAAGCCGGTATTAACCAGCTATAGGGACAAAGAAAGAAGTTGTATTGTGTTAATAGAACTCAAGGGCTGAGTCACCCAGGATAGTTAGAACCATGACGGGCCTTGTCTGACAGAAGTGTGGGCCATTGCACAGACTCAAGAAATAATACCAAAGGCAGACAGGCACTGGAAAAAAAGTACTATGGCTGCTCCTTTTTTCCTGCTAACCAGTCCCCCAGGAAACTTCCCACTGAATTTATCATTATAAATTCTGGTAACTTGAAGAGGAATTTCTCATTTATGAATTTTATTTTTCAAAATTTCAACCTTTTTTGTCACATTTCAGCTAATGGATCTGTTTAAACTCATTTTAACTAAGTCAAAAGCCCGTTGAGGAGGAGCCTAGGAAAAGAAATTTGCCAAGGTCAGCCCCTGGAGATACACGGCAGGGAAGAAGAAGGAGAGGAATGGATCTGAGGAAAACGTCAACCATGGACCAGCACACTTTCATGACTTAGTTAACTTTCTCCATTGTTGGGCAATGTAGTGCAGGGCTCATGTTTTAGCTGATAAATTTAATCAAACAATTAATATCACAGTATAATAGTTTGTATATTTGTACACATTTTTGCATTAAATAGCTTCCTAGCAATGGAATTATACTGTTGAAGGGTACGAAAAATGTATAGTTCAGTAGCTCTTGCCAAATTCACCTCCAAAACTGCCTTTCACTTTGCTAACACTGACTACTCTCAATCTTTTACAGTTTTTAGTCAATTGATTGGTGAAAAATGACATATTGTTTTAATTTGCATTTTACTATTGACTTTGAAAATATTTTCAATACATTTATTAGCCATTTGTTTTTCTTTGTGTGTGATTTACTTTTTAATATATATCACATGTGATTTTACTATATCTTTATTGATTTATAGGCTATTTGTATTCTATACATGTATATATTTCATATATGTGGCAAATGTTTTCTCTGTATTGTTATTTTAATTTTGCTATATATATATGCTGTCATATAGCAATTGTAAGTTGCTTTGTGCTATTATCTTTTATTACTTCTGCTGGTGGGTCTTGCTTATGAATATTTTCCTTACCAGAATTCTATGAAAATAATCTCGTGTGTTTTCTTTTAGAATGTTTATAGGGTATTTCAGTTGTTCCTTTGGCCATCTGGAGTTTAGTTTTGTTTATGGTAAAAAGTCATTATTTCATGTTTTATCCTCCAGTTGGGCACCTATCTGCCCTAGATGAATTAGTTCTTCTCATACTATTCATTCAATACTTTTCACACTATTCTACGTATCTGAACTGTTTCCAAGCTCTCCACTCACTTCCACTGAAGTCTGTGTCTGTTCTTATACTAGTATCATGTTGTCTTAATAAGTGTACTATCATTATAAATTCTGGGAACTTGTAGAGGAATTTCTCATTTATGAATTTCATTTTTCAAAATTTCAACCTATTTTGTCACATATCAGCTAATGGATCTGTTTAAACTTGAATTCTATTGGCATTTTAAATGGAATTTCATTAAATTTATGGCTTTGGAAGAAGTGACATCACAGGCACTCAATAAACTTGTCTGGAACAAATGAACATATATGCTACAATCATTTAAATTTAGTTCTGTATTTAAATGATGCCAATGCTCACTACAAATCCTGTATTCCTTATCCTCTTCACTATGAATTTTTTTGTACTAATTTAGATTGCAAGGTTTCCTTTCATTTTTCTTTTGTTTCTCAGAAGTTTACATACAATTGTGTAGCTTATTATACTTTTCTTCCCTATAAGTGTGAGGAATAACTTGGCTGAATATAAAATCTCTGGTTAAATATTGATCTCCCCAAAATTCAACAAAGACAAAACACTTTGGCTGGAAATCTCAGATGAAGCCAAGGTGTACAGAACAGAGGGCTTTAGGCATATACCTGAACCAGAAGGAGGAAGCCCCAAATGGTGCCAGATACCTTTCTGTCCAAACATCTCCATCAGATCTCTATCCAAAATTTCCTAGTCAATGTAGCCCTACTGGCAGTCCCTTCTCTTCATCTAATTGAAGTAGAAATGCTTGGGAAGAGTCTGATATGAGTGGGAAGCATTCCATGAGAATGTGAGACATGCAAACCTGCTACTAAGTGCTCTCATTCGCAAATAAATCAGCCTAAAAAGACATCAGAAGCTTTTTGTATGGAAAAGACATAAAAACAACTGATTAGGAGCCTCTACTAATACTGATAACTGTCCTTACAAGAAAGAGAAATCACAGTAACTTGAACAGGGAAAGTTTAATATAAAGAATTGTCCACTATATCAGGGAATTGGAGTAATGAGGGAATGACCAACAAAAATGAAGGGAACTCTAAAGATTATAGGAATAGCAGATGAAAGGAGGAGCCACTATACCCAAGGCTAGACCGAAGAACTTGCTGGAAATTGTGTTGGAAGTCATCAACAGGACATAATTGTGGTTTACTCTGGAGCTGATCCTGGGCAATCAGAGGCTCCTTACCCTTACCCTTATCCTTGAAATGAACATTCTGCCCAGTGTACCCACAGCTGGAACCATGTTCAAGGATGCAGCTTTCAGAGAGCTTTGTGTTGTGCAGACCATACAGACTGGATATATGACTGAGAACCTGCATATAAGCTTTAAGATTCTAGTGGGCAAGCACAAAGACTTACTCATTATGTGGCTGCCCAAGACAAGCCTCATGTGTAAGTTCCCTTGCTTTTTAAAACTCACCTACCAATCTAGAATGGTCTGCCACTTTCTTGGTCTCCTCCTGCCCTCATACAGGGGCCAGTTTCAGATTTCACTGGGGAAGCTTCTGAGGTTTCAAGCCACAAATCAGCCAACTAGATGGCTGAGAAATTTATTCACCAGGAATATCTCACTGGATGTACTTCCCCATGAGACCATCTGAG